GAAGGATAACGAGATAAATTAATCAAACATTAATTTCATCAATGATCCTTCCTGATGCCGATCAGAGGCCCGTTTCCCCCTTTTGTTTAAGCCTGGGAGCCTATTCAACCTATCCTGATTGGACCTTCAGTGGTCATCAAACCCATTCAGCCATCAACAGGTATTAGACCCATCAAGTTCTGGCCCAGGAGACCGCCCCCAGAATTCCTATAAAAATAGAGAGCTTGTCCCGCCTTCGTGCGTACTCTGAGGGCACCTATACTTGAGTATACCCCCAAAGTCTCCCCTTTGGGCCACCTTCTCCATAGCGTGAAACACTGACCATTTGTGTTGTTCTCTTCTTGGACATCTGCACATCTGGACAGGTAGTATAACCCCCTATAACTACTACTATACATCGCTATCATCACTCCTTTTATTTCATAGTTCTTGATTACATGCTTACTTTATTTTTGATTGCTTTAGTGTGATTGTAATGAAGGAAATTCTTAAAACTGTTAAGAACTCTTTAAATCTGGAGTCTTCCTACTGAACTGGACCTTGGTATATATAGGTGTGCAATTCCTTGTACCCTTCTGGCCCCCTCTGTCTCATAGCTAATTTCCCCCAACAATGAGACAGGCCACTTATGGTAACAGGTTGCCAGCCTCCAGGTGGGGCCTGGAGATCTCCCACTATTACAGGGGTGGCCAAACTTGCTTAACATAACAGCCACACAGAATGTCAGATGTTTGAGAGATGCGAGACATGAACAAATATTAAAGGTTTCCCTTGCTCGAAAGCTAGTCGAATCTGACTCTAGGGGATGGTGCTCATCTCCGTTTCCAAGCGGAAGAGCCAGCGTTGTCCAAAGACTTCCCCATGGTCATGTGGCCGGCATGACTAAATGCCAAGGTGCACAGAATGCTGTTACCTTCCCACCGAAGCAGCACCTATTTACTAGCAGTTTCTTGCTTTCGAACTGCTAGGTTGGCAGGAGCTGGGGCGAGAGACGGGAGCTCACTCTGTCACACAGCACTAGGGTCTCGAACTGCTGACCTACCCATCTTCTGATCTGCAACTCAGCGTCTTAACCTCTGAGCCACCGTGACCCCCTGAACAAATATTACACACATGTTTTTATTGAAAAATATGCAAAGTTGCTTTTTTATTAAAATTAAAGTAGACTGTGTGAAAGAGCTGCATGCGGCTCCTGAGCTGCAGTTTGGCCACCCCTGCACTATTACAACTGATCTCCAGATGACAAGGATCAGTTCTCCTGGAGAAATGACTGCTTTGGAGGGTGGACTCTATGGCATTGTACCCTGCTGAGGTCCCTATCCTCCCCAGGCTCCACGCGCGAAATCTCCAGGTATTTTCCCACCCAGAGTTGGCAACCCTATAAAGCCACAGTATAAACAAATTGTTTTGGTATGGCTCCCTGTCTAAGGAAATGGAATTGGAAAAAATGCAATTGTATCATAAAGCATGGCTATATACAATGGCTCACATGGTTTGTTCTGGATGTTAGCTAGGTGTGTGGAGATACACATAGGTCCTATGCTTACCTTTATCTGAAGAAGTGAGCAGCGACTCTCCAAAGCTCCTACCCTACCACAAATTTTGTTAGTCTTTAAGGTACTACTGGACTCTTGCTCTTTTCTGCTGTTTCCAATGCAATGCAACATGGAGCTTATATGTCCTTTATGACTTTCCACAGAAATGTCAAGGAAATGGACCTGTTTTGTAGACTAGTCCAAGCTCAGGTGGGTGGTGGGGTAGAGGTTACATGATGAAATCTCTCAAGTTTCCCATGGATCCAGGATAATAAAAATATCATGAATGGCTTGCAAGTCAAAAAAGAGTGTTTTGGGGGCAGGATCTGTGAAAGCTCTCTAAGATGCCCATAAATATGTTGCCATATCGTAGAGTAATATGGGTACCTAGTACAGCAGTGTTAACCTGCTTAATTTAAGTACTACCTGAAAGTAAGGCAAAAGGGACAGAGACCAGACTAATTGGATGTAAACAAGATCCTTCCTTTGTCTGCCATGCTTTGGTCTTGGTTCTCCTTCGTTCCAGCCTGAGGTTGGCTGTCTTCTCCAACTTTATATTAAACGAGCTTTCATTCTTTTGTATGTTTTATTCCCTGACTAACTTTATTGAAACCTGAAAAGCAAATTCATATGCTTACCTGTTCTTTGAAAATCCATGCATTGTGAACTCTTCATTTAGATGTTGGTCTTCATCCCATCATTGCCCTTAGACTTTCATTTTTGGTAAAGTAAATAAAAATGGCTGCTTTTGGCAACTTGCATTTGTTCACAGCACACATGTTTATCTTTGTGTGTGTTAAGTATAGCATCACCAAGACATTTCATTTGGCAATATTTTAAAGCTAACGAGTAGGTCAAAGAGGCTGTCTAATTTGTGTTTACTATCAGCAGATTTATTACTAGCCTGGACTTTTTTGTCTTATCTGGCCTGCATAGAAGCTTAGGTCTTACAGTGATTGCCACATAGATAAAATGCAGAGGTGCCTAAAACATAACAAGGAACTCTGCTGAGTTTTAACAGCTCAGGTTTTGCACACTTTTGCTGATCTAATAGTCTGAAAGCACAGGAGGAGCAAATTGGTCTGTAATGTTCTAGTAAGACCCCCTTCCACCAATCCTAGGACTTTACACACTGGAGCAATATTGGGGAGTTCCACTAAGTTTAAAATCTGTAGCCTGTCATTCAAAGCTGCCAAGTTAATGCATCAGAAAGCCACCCTGAGCCTTCGGGGAGGGCGGGATATAAATCCAAAAATAAATAAATAAATAGAGAAGTCAATAGATCGTTTGAGAAACCGTTTCCATTAAATATGTGGAACTCTGTTGGATGGAAAGCTTTAAATAAGAGCTTAATGCCAGAATACAAAGTATTTCTCTTCCTTTCTCTTCTTCTCTCGTTCCGACCTGTTTTTGCCTTCTTTAGAATTGTTTATGCCATACTCCCACTATTCATTTTATTAATCTTTCTGAACCTGGGGGGACGATATAGATAAGAAATTGTGTTTCATGGAGTTTTTAAAGTACATTTCGAAACTTGGAATACAGTCATTCATTTTATCAGACTGAAGTTGCGAAAGGAAGATCCCTAGGTCAAAAGGGGACTTTGTGCTTTTCAGAGCATTTAGAAACTGAGACTATGAACTGACCTGTTTAGCTTGGTATAATTAAGTGCATTCTGATGGCCCATGGCTTCCATTCCTGTTTTTATATATTCTTTTACTTGGAACTCCAGCATCTTCCCCCCCCCCCCCCGTGCTAGGTAGTTTCTGTTCTTTGGAATGGGATGTATATTTTGCAATATTAGAAAAAGGCTTTTTCCCTACTGTAACCTAAGGTTGCCATCCTCCTGGTGGGACCTGGAGATCTCCTGCTATTACAACTGATCTCAAGACGAGAGAGATTAATTTCCCAGGATAAAAAGGCTGCTTTGGAGGGTGGACTCTTGTCACTGTAACCTGCTGAGGTCCCTCCCTTCCTCAAACCCCACTTTCCCCAGGTTCCACCCCCCAGTCTCCAAGTATTTCCCCACCCCAAGCTGGCAACCCTACTGTAACCCCAGTGTTGAAGTCCCAGATAGGGTTCAACAAAGCGGTTTTTGTGTCAGAACTCAGACCAATTCAGTTCACCAAAACCCTACTGAAAGAAAACTTAATAAACCATCTTAAAAAAAAATGACTGTGTCCTTAGATTACACCTCCAATCATCTTCTAGTGCTACTACACTGCAGCAATTGTAAATGCTTTCTGATTTCTCTTCCCCAGGGTGCTGAGATCCAAGGCAGTAGCTATTTGGACAACGAAGGCGTGTACAGTGAATCAGACCTCTTTCCTGATGAAGACAACATGACCTTAGCCCAGCAGGAGGTCCACCATGAGTCTGATATGGACAGTGCCATTGGGAGTGCCCACAGCTCGGAGTCTTCAGATGTGTGTAGGAGCGAGGAAAAGGATGGTGTACTGGGTGGCCTTTTCCTGCCTGGAGACAAGTGAGTAAAAGCTCCAAGTTAGGGCTGTTCTAGAGATTTCTTTTTTTTTCTGTTCTCCTCTTCAAAATGCCAGACTGAATGGGCAGTCAGATATGCCCAAAACGGAGAGCTACAACTCAAAACAGCAACTCCATGTCTTAACTCCTTTTCTCCCAAACAATGTTTAGTAATGAAAACCTGTGATGTTTTTCCCCACATCTGCTCTGCATCTGGAGGCAGTTAGGGTTGGATGTCCCAACTTGGAAACCGTGACATACCATAGATTTCAGTTAGGGCATGTTGCAGTGGACTGGAGTGGGAACTTGACATCAGGATGTTTGCTGCTAGAATTCCTACTGCTTTGGAAGTCTGCAAGTTCCATGTGTCAGAGAGTCATGTTGAGCTGTGTGTGTGTGTGTGTGTGTTAGAGTTTTTTTCCTTCCCTTTGTCTTTAAGATACAGGGAACAGTAATGTTCAAAGTGATGACTGGAGCAGGCCTGGTATAACTTTTGTGTATCTGAAGTGAATGTAGATTACATCCAGCAGGCTTTGTGTCTGTGTAAAGTGCCATCAAGTCACAGCTGACTTATGGTGACCCCAGCAAGGGGCTTTCAAGGCAAGTGAGAAGCAGAGGTAGTTTGCCATTGCATTCCTGTGCAGAGTCTGCTTTGGTGGTCTCCCTTCCAAGTGTTGACCCTGCTTACCTTCTGCTATCTGATGAGATCGGGCTATACCATTCCACCTTCCCTCCCCCAGCAGGCTTTACATGGGGCCTCATGGCAGCCACAGTGAAGCAAGAACAGAGTTGCAACCTGACCCATTCCTGCCCTGTTGTCTGTGGAGCAAATATCATCTTTACTAGAGATGTAAAGGCGGGGGGGGGGGGGGCAAAAAAAAAAACGGTTTTTCAAAAGGTTTTTTTATTTTTTTTTTGGGAAAAAAAAAA